GTCAATGCCTGATCATTTTGACATTAGCAAAAAGCATTCTCATACTTCTATGGAGAAGACTTATTGCAGAGACTGGGTTTGGAGGCAGTGATGTTAGTTAAACATAGTAATGGCCTAATATCACATAATGCATCAACTATTTTTATTAAATATTCATGTAGATGGTAAGCGCTGTATGAAATCTTTAGAAAACAGCCATGGCAGAAGGATTTACATCACTAAAATCTGCAAATAATATGGATGAGGACTTTGAAAAACTCTGGCAGTTAGTTTACCAAGACATCACAAAGCTATTTCAGAATTCTATTAAAGGAAGGGAGTGATAAGTAAGAATTTAATTAGTAGAGATAACGATTTTGAAAAAGAAACTGACAATATTACTTGGAAATGGCGGTGAAAGAAAAGTTTCAAAGAACACCCAAAGATGATTCAGAGACAATATGTAAGCAACTGGATGGAAGGCAATGACAAACAAACAAGGGCTATGTGGTTAAGAGCACTGACTACTCTTGCAGAGGACCTGGGTTCAATTCCCAGCTAACCTGGCAGGTAACAACCATCTGAAATTCCATTTCCAGGGCAATCTGACACTCACTTGTGAACTCCGTGGGCATTGCGCAACACAGGTGCACTTACATACATGCAGGCAATAACTCATACACATAAAATTAAAATAAATAAATAAAAATTTTTTTTAAAAAAAACTAACATTGTGAATGAAGAAGAACATGGTTTAGGGATTGAAAACCTACTCAGGTTGAATTTGAACAGCATATAGAAAATTGAGTAAATATCCATCTGTCATGAAGACATAGATCTGTATGTACAGATCTAAAATAAAAAAGCAATAATGTTTGTATTTTTAGGTTTAGGCATATGTGTTAAAATCGTGTGTTTGGATGATATATATAATATTATAAAACATTGCATTTATACTAATGGAAAGCACTTGATAACTACTTACTACAGGCTAGGATGTGGAACAATGATAGAACTATAGTAACAATTTCCATTCCACATATGTTGACAGAAATGTTCAGAGACTATATGGAATATTCACTGACGTAGACAATAAGTGGTGGAACAGAGATCCAGCGTAGGCAACCTGGCACCAGAATGTAGATTCTTAGGCAAGAGTAGGACATAGATCTGACAGTGAGGGCAGAGTCATAGAACAGTCAAGGATGAAGTGAGGGTAGCTAGAGATAAAGGGTACTTCCAATGAAGATGAAAAATATAAACAGAGAGGTCAAGGCAAAATGAAAATCATTTGAAATATGCATTTTTAAAATAGCTTAAAGAGCTTAAAATAGCTTAAAGACAGCATAGTTCATGCCAGGCATGAATGACCAGGAACTTTCTTGGGATAAACACATTGTGAAATGAAAGCTACCTTTATTGAACGGCATATTTTCTATGAAAAACATGGTTGATTCTACATGACCTCATATAAACTGTTTCATATTAAAAAAGATAGCCCCACTCACCGATGCACGGGGTTCTCAATAAGACTAATCAAGACTAAGCTGTTGTATGAATAGTCCAAATGTAAATACTGCTAGATCCTGACACAGGAACATGAACATACACATTGGTGTTCCCTTTTCCACATCCCCTGATAACCCAGAGCAAGGCTCTGAGCAAATCTAGTTCTTCATGTGTCTCTACTTCACTGTTCTACTGCAAACAATGCTTCAAACTGGAAAAGCAAGCATTTCACTTTGGATTATGGCTTCCTCCTTCCGCACCACCCTTGGGGGAGTCCTGACCTACTCAAATACAGTTATTCAGGGTGAGAGAACATGTCTCTTCAAGCCCCACATAATGGTAAGAGATGAGTCAAAACAGAGGAATACAGTGAGGGAGATGAAAGTTGATGAACAGCCTTTAAGAGAGCAAAGGGACAGATGTGGCCCATAGAGGAGCAGGGAAGGAAACACGACTGAGAAACATGGATAGTGGTTTATTGCAATTGCTAGAATCTCACAATGTCTGGCTATGTCTTTTCCAAGGTCCGATGAGTGTGAAACAGAAGAAGGAAACAGCCTGTGCCAATTCGAGCATGGAAGAGGGCATAAATCACAACACTCAAGAGCAAGTCGATGCTTTTCACAGTGGTGGTTTTGTTTTTTGTTTTTTGTTTTTTTTTCTTTGCTTTTCATTTGTATTTTTTTTTTTTGAGACAGAGTCTCCCTGTAGCCCCAGGTGGCTTGAAAACTACCTATATAAACCAGGCTGGCCTTGATCTCACAGAGCTCTGCCTCTGCCTCTTAAGTTCTGGGGTTAAAGGAGGGTGCCACCACCTCCAGCAACAGAGGTGCATTTAAAGTGGAGAGTTACTTCTAAATAGTAGCTTTAGTAGTACTCAAAGTATATTGAGTTTTTTCGTAATTATGACGTGATTATATTTTTTTCCCTTTACATAACTTGTTATTGTTTTGTTTTTCTAAATATATAATATTCTGCATTTAATTTCTGTAGCACAAAAGTAATAAAATTTCTTTTTAAAATGATATAAATCCCCAGGGGTTTGTTTAATTCAATGATGAACTGCTTAAAGTAGTTTCATGTTTGCCCTGTGAGACACACATGGTGAAATACACAGGGTCTCATCAGCATTGAGTTACATTCTTATTATGACTTACAGACAATAAATATCCATTATGATTCTGAGTAAGTTTATGTGAATTAGGTTAGTGCGGTCTTGACATTGAACAAGGGTTCTGTTGGTCAAGAAAACATACTTTTACAATTAAATCTACCCTATATGACAGTGAGGATTGCCTAAAGCAGTAAGAGTAAATGTTTAAAGCAAATCCATTGTTCTGTACTGGTGTTCAAAAGAGTGAAATACCTACCATAAGCCAACAGTGCAACTAAAATAACAGGAAGTGTCTGTTTCCGTGCTTTGAGCAACAGTCAACTGGATGATAGGATCCCTGATTGGAGACAAATTCAAAGAGCAAATTCTACAACTGTCCTAGATGTTGGAGAGTGTGTTTCTAATTGCTGGATAGTGTGCTCTCACCACAGATGCCCCTCATGCTGGGACAGAGGTAAGTATCACTTTCCTGGCACCTAAATCACTGGAATCTTCAGAGAAGCAAGTCCAAGGGCAGGCTGTGTTGATTCGCTGAGTTCTAAGTTGTGTACATAGTGGGTGAAAAAGCATGAGGCTCAGCAGGCTTAGCAAGGGGTTTAGAACAGAACCGAGGTAAAAGAGAACAGTGCTGAGAATATCACATGTGAGAACAGTGACTCAATTTTTAAACCTTGTAAATTAGCTACTTTTTGCCACTATAACAAAACACTTGGGAAAAACTCTTAAGGGAAGAAAGATACATTTTATCTTGAGTTTTCCAATCTGAGAGGGAAGACATCCAGAACAGAGCCATTCGCATCATGTAGACCAGACAGCATAGAAAGGGGTAGCTGGTGCTCTGCTGGGTCCTCATTTTG